CGCTGCGGAGGCCAGTCAATTGACTGATCACCTCAACCTCCACCTCGACAGCTTTATTGGCCTCGGTATAACCTTGTCGGTGGAAGTTTTGGAGGATCTCCGTCGCATCGGCCAGACCCCCCAGCTGAAGCAAACCCGGTGGAAGGGTCTGGTTATTAACGACACTCGAGGCAGACAGGAACAGCTTCGCTCTAGTTTCGTATGATTTCTGCACCTCCTTAAAAAATAGAATCAAGTCCTTCAGGAGCTTGCGCCAAGCTACAAATTCCAGTCAGTAAAATATCCATAATCCCGCGCATTGACGAGAGTAAAGCTCACCTCCAAACCGATTCGCCAGCACCTCGGTCGGGTTACCGTTGGTAGGGACAGGAGTCGTGAAAGCACTATTGACGTCGTCCGAACCATCGGTGTGGTACTTTTCGCGATCACCCAAGCTTAGACTCCTCACACTTCCTGCTCGCATGCTCCTCCGGCTCCCATTGCGCCGCAAGCTCCCCTTTTTGCTCAGCGAGGCCTTCTTCCGCAACGTGCTCGAACGGGACGGGGTCGGGGAGCGCACGTGCGACATGGTGGAGGCAGACCGCTGCATTCCAGCCGGAACGTCAAACACCGAGCTGCGGTGACTGGCGGTATCAAAGTCCTCTTTGAACCGGGGCTTATGGGGAACTTGCGACGACTCGAGGGCGCCGGAGCCGTAGTATGCTGATGTGCCGGCGAAAGAATTCGGTCGTGACAGGGTAGAGCGCGGGCCGTACCCGCGACTCAAAGGCCCCGGATCGTTGGGGTGCGGGACCATGTATGCATCCTGTGAGGGCGTCTGTGGCCGCGCGGCCATCGCCATATCTGCGGGAACGTGGGATATTATGGTTTATGCAGGTAGGATAAGTATCGGAGCAGAAGATCGAAATTGAATCGAAGTTTGAAAGTAAGAAATTTAAAGGGAAAGGAAAAAGCGAGAATTGAGGATACTAGCTCCAAGCGTTCACAGGCTAAGTGGCGTCTTTTTGGTTACCTAGCGAACGGAGCAGTTGTATGCGGGGGAGTTACTGAAGCATAAGATTTGCCCCACTCAGTTTAGGGAAAAAAGGAGAAGATCAGAAGAGATTGGGCTGCCGATATAGGGAAGAGCTGGCAGAGCTGGGGAATTAAAGGGCAAGGAATTTCTGACGATGACGTCTACGAGATGTGAGATGGTGACGAGCAAACCTTGGAAGAAACTGGGCTCTCGGGATGTCCGGGACAAAAGAGAGGGGAAAAGCCCATTTGACTTCTATTTCTCTATATCTTCATTGACGTATTGGATCGGAATTTAAAGCCGTCTAAAATATTTCATTCTGTTACTGTAAACGGTAACAGGGGCTTCATACTAATTTATATGGTTGCCTGTACTCTGTAGGAAGAGTGGCTGAGGGACTCCCCTAAATAGGAAGAGAGAAACCATTGGAATAAGATTATTATTGATCCGATGAAGATGATCCACTCGATCTGTGGCTCATCGAAGGAAAATAAAATAAAAGGGGCTGATAGGTACACTCTCCCCTGATCATCTAGTGATGAACAGTGCATGACGTCGGGATCTGGGAGAAGGGCAGATCAAACCTGGGACTTTCCCCCTTCTACCTACAACATACCTACCACAATGTAGGTGTGTCCAATGTACAATTTCCCGGCTCACTCGGAATACTCCCTCTGGTTCCTTCCATGCGTACCACATTTAATCTGGGCTTTTCTATCTGACCTGTTGTTATTGTAAATCTAGTCCCGAGGTCCAGGGGAATGAGCTGTTACTCCCGAGCTCGCCATCATGTGATATAGTCATCAAGAAGCACGTCAAGTGATATCAACTCCCTACATATGTACATATGTAGGTACTCTGTCCTTGTATGACTTATCTGGTTTATCTGGCTCAAGATGACCTCGGGATATAAGGGACGTTGTACGTAAGATAACACTGATGTTCCAAGGTTCCTTTTGGATGTCTTTTTGGATGTCATTTTAGAGATTTCTTTCTTGCCGTGATATGACCTTCCCAAAAGCATAATGAATAATAGCGCAGTGTACGGGTATCCTGGGAATCCCCCAGCTGCACCCATCAGCTGCGACTTCCTCGCCAACATAACTTGCTTCGAGGAAGGACCGACCTGTGCACTAGACCATTCCAGCTCCTTTCTCTCGTGATCGCAAACTCATCTCCCGATGAAGCACAACTGACCAAACGATGGCTGAACTATGTCCCGAGCGTGAGGCAATTACACCGTCATCTCCAAGCCGACCTGTTATGTCGTTGGCATCAACTGAGTCTTGTGTGAAAACGGCTCTCGGGAGTCCGAGGATCACCTCGCTTGACGAAGCAGCAGCCAATCGACTGCAAACGCTTCGTGACTTACATATACTTCCGGCCGACTGAAAACAACCCAGTCACATCCGGAGTATACAAAATATCGACGCGGACTATGTCGACGGAAGGGCCATGGACAAGTTCCCGCTTTGGTGTAAAGTTTGCCATGACAAAAGGCCTGAATAGCCCCCGTTTTTCATGAGACTTAGATGAATGGGTGTACCTTGCTACAAATTCCACCTTCCGGCCCCGCCCCCCCAAACGAAGTTGCGCGCTGCAACCTGGCGGATTGATTTCATGCAAATCGTTGCCGGGCGATGGCAGGCAAATACCACCTCAGGCTAAGCTGCTAGTTCAACAAAGCTAGCCGGGATTTGACCAACTCTTCAGAGTTCGGCCGGTACCTTAGCGCAGTTGAGCGCCAGGATGCGCCTAGCACGGGGATGGTATGTTCTGGGCTGCGTATGAGCAGCAGTATCAGGTCGCGGAATCGGTTCAAAGCAGGAACACAGCGAACAAAGCATACGGCATGAATGAGAAACTTGTCAATATGTCTCTTGTCAACTTCCTTCAGGCAGTTTGTGCCTGTCACCCTGGTCTAGAGATCAATTGCAATCCAGCCAGGGTCCACTTTATCTTCGACTTCAAGGTCAAGGACAAAAGCAGGCCAAGGCAATTGATTCGAAGGTCCATAGCTTAATTGGTTTTAGGACCCGATCTGACCACGCAAGAAACCATACATCGTTATGCTGCTGTATTTGATCGTCATTGGCGGCTCTACCAATTGTTATGTGCTTTGTATCCTGGTTTCTCAAGGGTGTTAGATGGAAAGAATGGAGATTTCCTAGCACGATCGAAATAAAATGACTATTGCCTTAGGCTCTTAGGGAGAACAAAGTCTCATCTATCGTCGGGCGCATGACATGTTCCTTCCTGGCTTGGGAAGTATCACAAAGTCTTCCGCTCGTTTGATATACCTGCGCTGTCATTGGCTCGCGGGTGGTCCGGGGGTATCCCCTCAATTTGGAGTATTGGTGAACACTAGAGCGGTACATGTCTGCATCAAGATCAATCTTTATTGAGTTCCATGCAAATGCTTCTACAGATCTTATATTTTATATTCGATTGAGCGGCCTGGACTAGCTAGGTTCACAGCCCAGCATACTGGAACCACACAATAGTTGGTCCAAACTCGAAATGTGTATTGTTTTGGATTTCCTGGAAACTAAAGAAAACCAAATCGGATGGGTGTCTCCATGTGATAGGCAGCATGGTGTGGGGGGATAATTTACACAAAGCAACGGGAAAAAGGCGGACTGAGAAGAATGTAGGCTTATGATGCAGGAACTGGGGATGTGGGAACCTCAATGCCGTAATGCGCCTTGAGACGCTCCCGGCGTCTCTCTTCATAACCAGGGCCGTAGATACCTAGTAAAATTAGTACAGGCAGACAATATCGCTACCCGGATAAGGAGCACATACCGCGTCCTTCACCCAATTCCGAGATGGTCTGCTCTCCGGGAGTCTGGAATGCCTTACGCAACGCCGTCCGGCGGTCGAACTCGTCCACCGATGTGTCCTTCTGGTATCCAAACAGAGAGCCACCGGTGTACTCGAAGGCGGTCATGGCGGTCGATAGGGCGATACCATATCCGAGCACAGCGGGGAGTGTGCGCACTGAGGTAAACCCGACTATTAGCTTTAAATCGTAACCATAGACTCAATTAAATTCAAAACTTACCTCGGAGACCGAGAATGGCACCTGAGAAGAAGCCACCCAGAGCGACGTTGTAGTGGTCCTCCTTCTCCCGCAAGTTGGCGGAAGCGGTCTTGATGAACTCATAGGTACCACCCATGGCCGCTGTAACATGTCTGATTCAGCAATTGATCCATCAAGTCATATGTAGAAGCCCATACCAAAGGTAGTAATGGTACCACCGCCACGGACGAAGACGCCCAGAGTTCCGACGTTCTGTTTGGTGAGCGTGTTCTGCACAGCGGCTGCGAAAAGACCGACGCTTCCGGTCAGCGCGGTGGCCTTCATGGCTGCCGAAATGGCATCCTTGGGGTGGTAGCTGTGGTCTTCGTCGTGGTGCGCCATTATGTGTGTGTGATAGCAGGGATGGACTGCTTGCAGCATGAGATGTGGTTGACGATAGGATTTTGGAGTTAGCTTTCTGCCATAGCTGACCGCCACCACCCACCCACTCCAACGGAGCTCTAGTTACATGATTCTGTTGATACTTCTTTCACGTTGAACCCTTTCATTCACTTGTTATCATCGAAAATCCTCTTAGATATTGCTTGGCATTTTCTAAGAGAGCGTTTTGATCTCAAAACCGTCCATTTTGTGGAGGAGAGAGTTCCGAAGCTTGCCACTGCTTGCTGCCAAGTGTAGTGGGCTCCCCGCTGTCTCTCCGCATACAGTGGCGATTTCATCATTTGACAATATTGTCATCATAGCTGGGCTGTTACGTTGCGTGCTTTTGTGAGCTTCGATGAGAATTTACCCTTTAGGAGGATCAACTCTGCCTATAGCATCAAGACGAAGATCCAAACCGTGTGAGGCCTTCAGGCCTGAACACCGTACTTCATGGCGTCTGTACAGAAGGCCGGTAAGACAACATCCTGGATCAGCAAATCTGGAATATAATTTGAGCAAATGCTTACACCATTTTCTATCAATTATATAGGAAAGACGGCGCCGCGTCTCATTCATGATGTCCAGCTGTATGATCCAGCACACTACCCAGACACAGGCCGTAATCTCCTCTCAGAAACTCCGCCCATTTACCCAGAAGGCTACAACGGCCCACCTGGATTCATATCACCGGAAGCATGCCGACACGACTATGTCCTGAAAGAAGACCAAACCTTCATGTCTGAGCCAGAGCACCGGAGAAGGCCAGGCACATCGTCCAAGGTCTCAGCCATATGCACAAAGTGCCGTTATCATCTTCAAGTGGTGGTCAACTACACGACTCACATCAGTACATTCAGTCAGAAACAAGGGAAACACTTACATCATTTGGTCTACCAATCAGGACGGCAGAAGAATGGCCTTGCGTTGCCCGAAGAAACTCCCAAAGGGCAGGTTGCGGAGACGTACCACTACCAATGTTCCTACATCTCATGCTCGGCTATGGTATCTTTGCGGATTCTTTCACCAATTCTGAGCCCGCAATCTATACGCTTGATGACCGATAAAGAGTTGTTGCGGAAACGAGCTGAAGAGGCCACTGCAACGTATGCTGAGTCCATGGAAGGCATGGGTGATCCGCAGCCGCTGAACGTATTGGATAACCTGCGCCTGTACATCACGAATGCCCTACGAAATCCACAACGAAGCAAGCCCATTTCCTCCGTCAATAAGAGGTTCATGCACTCTTTCGGCGTGGAAGGTGCTGCTTGTAAAGAATTACTTGAATTTCTAGAGTTCATGTACAATAAGGTTCGTAACATTATACTGTTTTTCAATCGTCCGCTGGCATCATCTTGTCTCATACGCTAACGAACTTACTCAGGATACTGGGGCATGGCACCCGCCTAAACCGACCTCCAACGCTGAAAAGCCTTACCAAGACACGATGCGTCTCTTTCTCGACGACCTGCTGCATGAATTGCTAGTCCTGATACATCTCAGATCAGCCTCAGAAAGAAAAGGATTCCAGATTCCTAATCTTCCTTCCTCGGCGATCCCCGTTATTTCCTGCGCTCTAGAAGCGCAAGACTGTTCGTACATTGTGACCCTTAGCCCTAGAAAATTACGCCTGACTTCTGTTGCAGATCCGACAGCTATGCGTTACAAGGAATTCGAGATGGCTCATGCTCCGTTTGTACACCCAATCTTGAATTGATAGAACTGGGTCTGACACGTTTCTTTAGTTTCTATGAAGACCTGGGGTTGGTGGAGGATATGTCCTCGTCGGCTGTGGTCGAAGCATACGATCGACAGATCTTAACCGATCCTGGCAGGACCCCGATGTACTTGTCTGCTCTCAAGGCTGTCGGCTGTCTTCGTGGTGACCAAGACAAGGAAGTCATCGACATAGCTGTCCAAGCAGCTTATGAACAAGGAAAGTACGCCGTTGAGGACGTTGTGGGCGCGTATCAGTACTTTAATCTTCACTTCGATGATCCAAACCTCACTGAAGACAGTATCATTGGCAAATTCTATGCCTTCGTGAGCTCGACAACGCAAGATACTGAAGCTCGTCAGCAGTTGTGGCGGATTGGCGACTCCAGGGGAAGCACGCGCATCAAAGCGGCATCAGAAGATCGTGTGTCGATAGAGTCACTTGTCTCCAAAGGGGAATGTGTGCTAATTTTGACAACAGGTGTTTCTACTGTTGAACAAGCGAATGTCTTCTTGGGAGTTGAGGATCAGACCCCCGATGACTTTGTCATGACTATGTACACCGCCAAGGTTGTTTTCCGATTGCTTCATTTGTGGGTTGAACGCAAGCTAACATTCTTATCAATTAGGTCAATGACAACCCACTTACCAAAGAACTGGCGAAACGCGCCGTGGCACTCATTGCCGAGTCCCGCAAATCGGTCGCATTGAATCATTTCATCAATACCGGAGAGATGATTGCTGGTGAAATGGACATCGGTGATGCCTATCGTCTACTCCAAATCCCTGATCGAACTGTCGATGATGGGGCAATCATAGCCGCATATACAATCTGCATTGATGAAAACCCAGGGGATGCCGAAAGATACAACCAGGCTCTGACGATCATTGCCAAGCAACTGGACAGCTCTACGTTGAGGAATATGGCAGGTGTCTCCAACGAGCCGGATAGGAGCATGGGAGATTGGCCGGTCGGACTACAAAACATCGGCAATACATGCTATCTCAACAGCCTGTTGCAGTTTTATTTCTCCGTCCGTCCTTTCCGTGAGTTGGTCTTGGATTACGAACGCTTCCAAATGGATCTTAATGACGAGGAAAACCTCGCAAAGAAACAAGTGGGCTCGCGAAAGGTGACGAAGAAGGAGGTCGAGCGATCTCAGCGATGTAAGTTGCTTTTTCGGTCCCGATGGCTATATCTCTCAAACTGACCCTTTCCATTGCAGTCCTTAACGAGCTCCGGACTTTGTTCCGTAGCATGATCTCCTCATCACAAATCTCGGTTACTCCCGGCCAGGAACTTGCTCGGTTGACCCTGATTAGCCCAAGCAACGAGGCGGCAATACGTCGTCGGTCGACGATCACTGCTACTAGACCCGAGATTCTTGGTGACATCAACGGTGCTCCTATTCTGGGACCCCTTGGGCCTCCACAAACCCTCCTTGGGGGTCGTATGGAGCCAGTTTCTTCATCTAGCCAAACTGATCCCGCACCTATTCAAAACTCGGCCGCCAGTGATGACGGCAGCGATGCAACATTGGTCTCCGATAATAGCATGAACGATGCACCTGGACTCTTCGTTGAGGATAAGGAGAACAACCCCCCGGACTTGGACCAGCTGTCAGACCAAGCAGAGGCAGGATCTCCCCAGGATATGAATATCGACACAGACGACGTTGCATCAGCCAATGTACCCCCATCCCTCCCTCCTCGGAACGTCCCCCAAGTTGATCGGGAAAAGCAATTAAAGGAGGAGGTAGAAATTGGTGCCCAACAGGATGTGACAGAAGTCATCAACAATGTTCTGTTCCAAAGCCAGTGCGCCATCAAGCCTCGGGGCATTGGCAGTGACGGTGAGCAACTTGACCAGATCAAAGAGTAAGTTATGAACAACCGTCTACTAAAGCACCTGTGTTAAACCCTCTCATCAGCTTGTTCTACGGTCAAACCCGCTCTTACATCTCCACCGAGAAAGGCACACGTTCGAAGGACGAACGGTGGTGTGATGTCAAGGTTGATGTTGCTCATGGATCTCGAAACATCTACGATGCCATCGATGGGGCATTTGATATCCAAAAGATTAGCGTGGACAACTCTGTGGCTGAGCAATTCGCTTCTATCAGCCAGCTTCCCCCTGTTCTCCAGATCCAGGTGCAACGGGTTCAGTTTGATCCTGTGAAGAAATGCTCGTTCAAATCTACAAATCATCTCGAGTTGCTTGAGACTATCTACATGGATCGATACATGGACACCAAGAATCCGGATGTTGTGGATCGACGAAACCAATGCTGGGAGTGGAAGGCGTCCCTGAAGAGGCTCGAGGCTCGCCGAGAAGAGCTTCTCAGGACAAAGGTATCGAATATGCTCAGTAAAAGTGCCCCATATCCATATAGCTAACCTTTATCTCTTCCACAGGAGGGTGCCGGCGTCGACATGGCAACATTGTTCCGTAGAGTCAAAACCGCGCTACAGGATGTAGACTCCATTGAACACGACACCGAGACCGGAGTCGGAGCCGGAGTAGAATCCGGTTCCATGAATGCTGTGGCTAGTACAGAGTTACTGGACAAGCTCGAGTGCCTTGCCCATAAAGCAGAGACCGACCTGCAAGGTAAGAGTTCTATCACCACAGCTGCTTCACATGAACAGGCGTGTTGACTCTTTTTATAGCTATCGACCAAGAAATCAAGGATACGCGGACCATGCTTTCCAGCCAATTTGCTGATTTCCATAACCTCCCATATCGTCTGTACGCCGTTTTTGTGCATCACGGGTCAGTCTCATTTGGCCATTACTACATCTACATCTTCGACTTTGACAAGAAGATATGGCGCAAGTACAACGATGAGTACGTCACCGAGGTCCAGAACGTGGATGAGATCTTCAAGAACGACTCGACTAGCAACCCTCCGACCCCATATTTCCTTGTTTATGTCAACGATAACATGAAAGACCGTCTGGCAAACCCCGTCTGCCGTGTGATATCCGACAACACGTCCGAACTTCCCAATCTGGAACAAGCCACCACCATGGAGGGTATTCAGCCCACCAGCCCTGTGCCGGACGTGAATATGGAACCCCCATCCTATGAGGAAGCGTCGGCCATCAATGGAACTCCAGGTACGGGAAATATCAAATCCGACGCGGAGACCACAACATGGCCCCATCCTCGTCCTGCGACTGACTCGCAGCAGTATTGGTAGATTCCAATGTTACGCCCGTCGATGCTGACGCTGTCAACCCTCTAAAACGCAAGAGTGTTGATGAAGTGAAACCAACCCGCCCGACTTAATTTCTTACACTGTGTGGCACCAACGTGTACAGCATGATAACATGATTTGCATGATTTCTCGATTCTCTTATGTCTGCACGTGGATATTACTGCATTGCGAGGTGTGAAATTTTTTTTGTTATCCAGCATGTACATACGCTGAAGATACCATGGAATACTTGTAGAGTTAAGATAGTCGAAATTGATCTTCCTCTCTATGTTTGGTCTTCTAAGCTTCAAGTTGCTACCTACATGTACATATATCAATTTGTACTTTGCTACTTTGCACTTCGTTACCCCGGGTAAACGTATCAGGTGACTATAGGAAGCTGACTCAAGCACTGCCGATTTCCAGGTGGGCAAGCCGCGGGAATCGGATACGGATCGGCTGTGGATTTCGGCAGCGGCAAGAAGAGATGTCAATCAGCCTAGGGGGATTTTGAAGGCGATTAGTAGCAAAAAAAGAATGGTAGATATGTAGAATTTGGCAGTACTTGATTTGTGATATCCTTACTAGTCAGTCACCAAGTTCAGGGGCTCCGGGGGTTAAAAAGTATCGAAATCAGGCCAAGTTCATAGTAGGCGGGAGAGAGCCGGGAATCCACATTTCCGGGGAAACGAATATCACTTCGGGAATGATTCCGCCCTCACTGCCGTGCGGGAATATAAGAAGTGGCTATTGCCGCTGCCATGCGCATTCGTTCGATCTTTTTATACCTTGTTGTGAACTTGGGGTTTTTTCAATATAACATCCAGTCTCTTATTTAGAAGTCATTCGCTATGCCTTCTCAAGTGGCAACATGCCTGCGCCTCGCGCGTCAGTTCTCCGCCAATCCTGTCCAGGTAAGTGATTTGCCAATAGCTCGTGGCTCGTATCGCTTTTTGAGCCGCGGAGACTGACATGTCTTTTAACTAGCACCAACGTTTCATGGCCCGCGCATTCTCCAGCAGCGTCCGCCGCAGTGAGATCAACAAGGTATACCCCTCCGCCGAAGTAGCAGTCAAGGACATGAAGTCCAACTCGACTCTGCTCGCCGGTGGATTCGGGTTGTCTGGTGTACCTGACTCGCTGATCAACGCCGTACTGGCGAACCCCTCCATCACTGGCCTGACCGTGGCCAGTAACAACGCTGGTGTGGACGGAGCTGGTCTCGGTCTGCTCCTCAAGTCTAAGCAGATCAAGAAGATGATTGCTTCTTACGTCGGCGAGAACAAGACCTTCGAGCGCATGTATCTCACTGGTGAGATCGAGTTGGAGCTCAGTCCCCAGGGAACTCTCGCTGAACGGTGCCGTTCTGGTGGTGCGGGTATCCCCGCATTCTACACACCTGCCGCCTTCGGTACCGTGGTGCAGACTGGTGCGGTGCCCCTACGACACAACGCCGACGGCACAGTCGCAAAGTTCAGCGAGCCGCGTGACACCAAGGTGTTCGACGGCAAGAGCTACGTCATGGAGGAGGCTATCAAGGGTGACTACGCTTTCGTCAAGGCCTGGAAGGCCGACAAGCTCGGTAACTGCCAGTTCCGCTATGCGGCCGCCAACTTCAACGGCGCCATGGGCCGTAACGCCAAGATGACCATCGTCGAGGCTGAGCACATTGTCGAGCCCGGCGAGATCGAACCCGCTGCCGTCCACCTGCCCGGTATCTACGTCAAGCGTGTTATCCAGAGCACCACCCCCAAGAATATCGAGAAGTTCACCTTCGCCAAGGAGGAGGGCGCCGACACCTCTGCTCTCGGCAAGGGTGAGACCGCCAACAAGCGCGAGCGTATCGTCCGCCGTGCCGCTAAGGAGTTCAAGAACGGCATGTACGCCAACCTCGGTATTGGTATGCCCATGCTTGCTCCCAGTTTTGTCGACCCCTCCGTTGAGGTGACCCTGCAGTCTGAGAACGGTATCCTCGGTCTCGGCCCTTACCCCAAGCAGGGTCAGGAGGACCCCGATCTCATCAACGCCGGCAAGGAGACTGTCACTCTCAAGCCCGGTGCTAGCTGCTTCGGCAGCGACGAGTCTTTCGGCATGATCCGCTCCGGCCGTATCGACCTGACCATCCTGGGTGCCATGCAGGTCAGCGCCAAGGGTGACTTAGCCAACTGTACGTTTTCCCACTTTTCCTCCGTTCTATGCAAATAACTAACATTCTCGCGCAGGGATGCTCCCTGGTAAGATCAAGGGCTTCGGCGGTGCCATGGACTTGGTCTCCAACCCCTCTGCCACCAAGGTTGTCGTGACCATGGAACACACCGACAAGAAGGGTAACCCCAAAATTGTCAAGAACTGCGAGTTCCCTCTGACCGGCCCTGCCTGCGTCAGCCGTATCATCACAGACCTCTGCGTCTTCGACGTTGACTTCACCCACGGCTTGACTCTTATTGAGCTCGCTGACGGTGTCACCGTCGAGGAGATCCAGGCTAAGACCGAGGCCCCTTTCAAGGTCGCCGACGACCTGAAGCCCATGCTGTAAATTTGCATGCAGACTGTATGATTCTTCAAGCGTTTTGTATATAGCAATTAGGAGTTAGATTGTTTCACGTTCCATTCTTATGGATATATCTTTGATACATATGCATTAAGAAGAACATTGTTCTGAATAAATATCGTGCATTTGAGTAGAAAACATAGTAGGTATACAAATATAAAAAAGCAAAAAAGGTATTGGTACATGTCATGCAACCCATCAAATAAAAACCCCCATAATGCTGATCCAAACCCAGGGAGACAATGATAAATCAAGTTTTCCCAAGTTTTCCAACGTCAAAAAACCAAAAGTCTATACATACAGCAAGAATAAAGACATCATGTCAAGCGGATAATACCAGCCAACCTCTTCCGTAACCGGCCAAGCCAATCGCGGTTCGGCGCCTCCGCAAACTCACGTACGACATTGTCATAGTGGTCTGGGTTACTCGCCGGCCGGCGCAGCTTCTCCGGCATGGGATATTTGCGCGCGTAGCGGTTGTTCAGCAGTGATTCAAGTGCATTCGTGGACGACTCGGAGACTGCTGGGCTAGACTTGTCTGCTGGCTGGAGACGGGATTGGATGTAGGATTGGACAGAGACTGAGGCTGGGCGGACTGGATCCGAGGGCCAGTGCTTGAGAATGTGCGTGAGGCGACTTTGGAGGGAGCGCGGGTTAAGGGTCTGGATGGTTTGTTAGGAGATTTGTTTTGGGTTTGAACGTTGGGGGAGCTTGTCGATGGTGTGGTTTGGGATAGTTCGGATGCGTAGATACTCACAAGTGTCTTAGCCATGGTGGACAAGAGATATCACAAGATAATTGTGGTATAGGGGAAGGATCTTCCTCTGCAAGTTGAGGCAAAGACGGGAACAGTCTATTTTGGCCTGGCGCATCAGGCATCATCAGCCACATCCATTCCTGTTGCCTTCTCATCGACCCCGTCATTTTCCCATCCCCTTGTACTCTTGTTATAATCATTTTCGCATTTTAACCGAAGTCCTTTCTGTCTCATTTTCCTTTCTGATTCTATTCAGGGTCGGTACCCGCTCAGCTCGCCATGAGCTCGCAGCGCTATTCACGGGTACGCAATCCCCCGCTGATCCCCTATCAGAACAAGCCCCCCGGATGCGATCCCTCGGCAAGATACTGATCACTATATATCCAGTTGAATGCCCAGGATGAAGACGAAGGACCACATTCCTTTCCGCTGAACGCGCGACCCGAACACAACGCCTCTTCACCTTCCTCTTACCGTTCCGGATCCCGCTCATCGTCACCATCGTCGAGGCGACTATTACACACCGATCCACAACACAACGATGATGAACAGACACTGGCCGATGCCTTCGGCGACGAAGACGAGTCCGACGATGATAATGAGCCGGATGACAGGCAGCGCTTGATGCGAGCCGACCCCGACTTCCGGGCTCCGGATAACGGCCCTACCGCCACGGCCTCCTCGTCGGAGTCGAGGGGCGATTTACAAGATCATACTCAATCAGAGACTCTCAGGCGGCCGACGATGTTGCCGACATTTACGGCACCGGCTTCTGGAGGGAGTCGGCAGATCGCCTCGTCGAATGATGGAGTCTTTGCCAATCTTGCCGCCAAGCCAGAACGGGGTGAGAAGAATGATGATCTTCCTCCTGTAAGTTGATAATTGGTATTTTTGATATGTTTGGAGAATTGTGTACTGATATCTTATTTAGTCATACGAAGAAGCCGCTGCTGATGCGACACCGCCATACTGGGAGACCACCATTGTGGCGCCTGGTATCTCTTCCGACGAGGTCTATGTCGATGGACTGCCTGTTGGATCTGTTTTCTCATTTGTCTGGAATGCCATGATCTCAATGTCATTCCAGCTTGTTGGCTTCTTGCTGACCTATCTCCTCCACACCACGCATGCCGCAAAGAACGGCAGCCGAGCGGGTCTCGGTCTTACTCTTGTTCAATACGGCTTCTACATGAAAGGCGGCAGCGACAGTTCCGGCTCCGAGGGTGGAGGCTCAGAATACGTTCCTCCACCTGACCCCAACAGCCACAACTTCGACCCTAACTCAGTTGGCGAGGGCGGGGGCGGGGGCAATGGAGGGAACGGCGCCATATCTGGCATCACAACCAGTGAATGGATTTCATATATTCTCATGATTGTCGGTTGGTTCATTTTGATCCGTGCGGTTAGTGACTTCCTGCGGGCACGACGGCATGAACAGCTTGTGTTGCAGAGCCCGGATCGTGGTCTGGGTGTACCAGTCATTGCAGAAGGCGAACGGTCGGAAACTGTGGTCTAATATCGGCGTACATGGGATTTTCACCTGTTTGCTTTTTTTAGGACGTGGAATTGGCATGGAAATGTCTGGCGTTACAGCATGGAGTTCTTTTTGTATCGACACCCCCAAGGAGTACTGCCTCCGGATTGCATTCCTTCAATTTTTTTCCCTTTTTTATCAGACCAGTCTACTTTTATTTCTGGCCCTGTAGCCATACTTGAGATACCAAATATATGGACCATGAACAACAATAGCAGTTATATTTATGTACGGAGTAGTGGAGAGGTCAATACCCTAGGTTCGAGTCTTCTAGAATGCCGCTAACCACTTCAGCAGCTTCGACAATCACCGCCACAGTTTCCTTGTCCAAGGTTCCCTCTATACTTAAACCCCGTAGCCTCTCCCCCCACAATAGCCACCGCTCCCGTGTCAGCCCGTCTCCTCTCGGCCATAATTCCGTCTTATCATCTAACGCCGCCGCCCAGTGCCGCCGCAGCTCCTCATAGTCAGCCTCAGACAGTGCCCAGCCCCCATCCCGCATCCAGGTCGCTGCTCGGACATCCAGCGCCCATACCTGCTCTGATGACATCCTATGCGCTTTTGGTGGGCAGTATTGGGGTCTCTCACGCTCCAGCACGTCGCGGCACGCATAGAAGATCCATATAGGATGCACCTTGTCTTTACCTTTGGTCGCTTTCAGCAGTGCAGCCGAGAAGACGCAGAAGCGGAGAAAGTACTCGCCGCCGCTGCTACCTACCGTGCTAATAGTAGAGCTGTCTTTCGCACGAGTCACGCACACCGTTCCAGTCGCGCCAGGCCTCGAGTATATCGTGCACGTCGCACCAGTGCGCGCTGAACCGTGGCAGCGCCTGCCAGTGTAAATTTCCGTCGGCCTCGACGTAGCTGCTCAGCTGTCGCTCTGCTTTGGCTCGTGCGCGTACTAAGATGCGTTGGTACATGCGCGTGGATGGCGAGGAGGGCTAGGGGAGGCTCGTGTGATGTTAATGAGGTGGCAACGGCCGTAAAAAGGGCGTCCCAGAGCTCCCAGGGCGCATGGACAGGGTCTGAAGAGGTAGTCATAGAATTGACGAGGTTGGTGGCTGTCTCATCTGGCGCTGGCGTCGAAGAATGTTTGCTAAGGGTTAGAAGGGCTCGGATTGGCGTGGAGAAGGGATTTGGGGGGTTGCTGCCCGGGATATCCAACATAGAGGTGGACGTTGGTGGAAAGGGTGCTGGGCTTTAGTGAATTTCGCTCAGTGATGGGCGTCTTTTGGCGTTTGGTGCCCCCAACGGCGGTAATTTTCGGCGCCAATTGCATTGGTGGCCTCAGATTCTACCAACAATATTGTAGGTACCTAGGTAGTTATAGAGAGTAGATCCCAACGCAATCGAGGCCCAAGGGTGCCCGCGCGTACTGCGCCACGATAGGCAGCATTCTATATCTATTGTCCTTTGCCCTTGCATCCCTTTGTTTCTCGCCTGTGCAACTTCACTCCACTGATGAACAGAAGATAGAGAAGAGAACAGAAGAGAAAAAAGAAATCGACTTGGCCCTCTTTCCCCGGCGGAATGACCAACACCGCCCACTGCCGAGAGACCCATTGTTTATTTGCCAACCTCAACTCGGCATAACCTCTATCTTTCGATATCTTCCCTGCGTTTCTGGTCGGGGTGCATCGCGGCCTTGTCCGCAATGTCTACCATCCCTCAGGGCCCCGTCGAGGCACGCTCACTGTCGTCGGTCACCACTATCGCATCGAATCCCCCCGCCTACCCGCGGAATCCCACTCACGAGAAGCACGAACCGCTATCTCTGTACATTGTACGTGTGCCAGGAAGCAAAGGTACGAATCAATTTACTGTCTGGGCACTCTGCTCTGTCTTTTAGTGTTGGAAGTCCTATAGTTGCGCCTTATTGTTCTTTAACAACCAAATGAAGATAACCCATAACTGACTGCTGTTTACATGTGCAGACATTTTCCTCTCACCGCTCAAACCACCGACCAAATCCAGTGTCTCTGCTGAGGCTATCAATGCCTCTCTTTACTATCTCCATGTCGCGACTCCCGACGATGATAGCCTGCTCCAGGAAGTGGAAGAAGAGCGCGAAGAGGAGGCCCAGTTGCGCAAGGAGCGCCTTGAGAAAGCGGGTGTCGACGACCCGGCACAACGCGAGTTCGCGCGGCTGAATAATGTGCGCCGGAAACCAGTTGGTGGAGGGAAGCTCAACTCCGAGCCTTTGCTGGCACCGCCTAACCAGGATGCCATTACTCCTCCTGCCTTGCCATTACGTCCAGTCCCTGTGCTGCAGGATGGCACTGCTTCTCCGGCCTTGCCACCACGGCCAATTCCTATGCCGCAGGTTACTGCGGAGAATGTATCTTTCTCTGGGACTCCAGTCGCCAATATACAGCCTCCTTTGACTAATAATATGCCTAGAGGGGTACCAGTAGAATCGGGTAGTAAGAGCGGTATCTCACGGAGACCTTTACCTCCCTTGCCACCTGGTGAAGAGTCATGGATCGATTCTGCAGCAGGCGAGGACCCGTCTAAGAGGACATCCCGATGGAGCGCGTTTACCGAACAATTGCAAAATCGAGGAGAGAATTGGAGGGGAAAGTATGAGGCAAAGTACGAGGCGTTTGCGGCTGGCCGTCATAGCCTTGACTCTACTAGACCGCAATTGCGGCCTCATTCTTCGCATAACCGTACCGGATCACCATTAGGAAGCCCCGGGCAATCTCCTAACCGGCATAGAAACGCAGACGACGACCGTCCTAGCAATGCTGGCTTTCATATCACGCTCATTCGACGTGATCCTACGTCCGGTACCCAATGGAATGTGGCAACTATATCAACCCCCCGAATGGACCGCAATGCCGTCGATATCGAGATTTCCACGCCGGGATATAACAGGTTCGCAGGCTCCAACGAGATGCCTTCATTGTCCAGCCTGGTGGCCAATCTCCCGACGGGAATCGGACGCCTACCCAACTCTGCCATTTCCCAATCCTTAGCCACTGAGCAACCAAAGGAGCAGCCAACCGGCCCACGCAAATTCCATCGTCAGCTCTGCGTATCAAGGCCATTTGATGACTCTGTTGCCACTGATAGCAGCAACGGCCACAACCCAGATGGCCCATCCTCATCCTCCAAGTTAAAAAGCGGCTACTACGTCTTCACTTCTCCCTGGAATGGCACGTGTACCTTCACAAACAGCGTGAACGGCCGAAGCCTCAAATGCAAACACATGATCCCAACGCCCGGCGGCTTCATTCCTCCCAATGGCGAAGCAGAAGCACCCCCCGCCGTAACCGTCGCCGAGCTCCGCTTCAACACCCCCCTCCAAGCAGCAAACCTCCACTCGCACGCCCACCACGCAATCCACAGACCTCACCCAAACCACCTCTCCCCTTTCAGTCAAAGCCAAATCCAAACCCCGTCGCTCTCCCGCCCAAACGACAACTTAAACGACAACAACCCTAGTCCCGACGGAGGACCCCTCCGCCCATCCTCTTCGAACAACAACAGCTTCGCAGCCGCAAAGCGCAACTCCCTCTCTCAATTCCTAAACCCAAACACCTACGCCCGGCCTCGCGCACACACAGGCCCAGGCTCAACCCCACCTCTTCCCGCCTCGCCTCCCGCAGACCAGCGCGCAAACTTCAACCCGTCAACCCTCCTCCGCAGAAACTCTATGCGCGCGCAACGCTTCGCACGCCAAAGCCAGCTCCATCCCTCTTCTCAGCCCCACTCACACCGCAGTACGAGTAATAGTAGTGGTGGGGATTTGGGTTATGATTCCGATGAGGACCGCTTGGACTTTTCGCTGGCGAGGGAGAATGCTGGTGGTGGGCTAAGGGGGAAGAGTGCAAAACTGGGGAAGTTGGTTATTGAAGATGAGGGGATTAAAATGCTTGATCTGGTTGTTGCGGCTTGTATGGCTGTTTGGTGGAGGGGGTATTATTATTGAGATATATTGATATTGGTCTTGCTAAGAATTCCTTGGTATATAGGACTTGTCTGTTGTAGTCGGTCAGGCGATGATATCGTACATGAATGTATGAATTTCATTTTGTCGGGTCTAATTATCCCTTTATCATATATGCCCGGCACCGACACAGCTACCTCTCCAAGCTATGTACGGATACATATGTAGCTTGTACCTAGGTAGTTCTTGGAAAGTGCCGGTGCACCCACGTACCCCCCGGATCAGGTGCCTTCCCTTTTAGTCCACGGATCAAGACTCGTCACCCCAGTTCCTTCCTCGTCTTCGGCCACTGGCAGGGTATAAATACCTGCCCTCCCACTTTCCTCCTTTCTTTTTCTTCCCTCAACATTCCGGGTCCACATTGCACTCTGTGGTTCCCGTGACGTTCAGTCTCCCGTCCTCTGGACATTAGGTCTTTGCTGCGGTCCAGATTAGTCTGAAACTAGATTGGGGCCTCGGCTCTAGTCTAATAGCACGAAGCATGTCGCGACCCAGGATCACATTCCTCCCTGCGGCCTCTGTGGAAACAGACTCTACTTTCCTGGGGTCTCCATTGACCTATAGGGAGCTGAACACTGTGCTCTTTGAGCCAATTTTTGGAACCTTTTCACAGAGATAGCTCTCTGCTGTCCGCAGAACTTTCTGAGGACGCTTTGTTTCTTTAAGGTTCCAATTCCATTCACCTCGTGGGCCCTTACTGAAATTACATTGTTATTGTCTCTTGTTGTCGTCTCTTGTTGTCGTCTCTTGTTGTCGTCTCTTGTTGTCGTCTCTTGTTGTCGTCTCTTGTTGTTGTCTCTTGTTGTCTCTTGTTGTTGTCTCTTGTTGCTCTCTCTTGTTGTTATTGTCACCATATACTTCGAATCTTTAGATTTAGCATCAAGATAAAATAAACCTCATGATGATCTTATGATAGGTAATCGATCAGGATCTTCACAGGCGACTAACAATTAACGATGTAGGTTGTAATGATTCATTCTACTGCGAAGCCGCTCATGACTTGTGGGAGACGGCTAATTGTCTAGCGGAACCAGCGTTGGAAGATAGTATGTGAACATTGCATAGCCTGTATTGTTGTACTCTTTAAAATAGGCAAGAAGATGAAGCTACTAAGCCTAATTGGGAAATACCCATCCAGCGAAGTAAATAAAGTGGAGAGACGTCAACAACGTCATTCGAAACCCGACCGTTGAATATCCCACGTGACTTCCAAAAAGCGTAAGGCCAATTAAATTTAGTTAAATTGACCCACATCTGTATCCCCTCAATATAGATCTGTAAAGGGAAAAAAAGTAGGTAGCTTCTCTTTGATTGAGAGTGTCATCCTTGGTGCAGGGACCATGCTAATCTTCTCTGTATATTTTCAGTTGACCATATGCCCCGAAGGGCGAAAGGGCTATCCTTAAAGTTCAATATAACACCCCTTTTTGGCAGACAGTAACCGACTATATGTTTGGTGTGTATCAGGCAGGCGCGCGGCTTGGCACGTGGATGGCTTTGTATACTCTATCTAGCTTCCGGCAATTAAAATCATGAAGGAGGAATTAGATCATGAGGATATAGTTAGAAATGGAGGCCCGGTATTCATAAAAAGAATCGGGCTATTAGCGAGCAATCATCTCAGTGATATACGGCCAAGTCCTCATAGGAATGAAGAGTTACAAAAGCTAATGTATTTGAGCTACGTCGTTTGAATAGATCCTCATTGACAGACACCTGTTAAGGGGGGAGACTTGATTGACAATCTATCTAATGATGAACCTACTTGAAAGAGATGCAATGCACAGAGTAATGTCATAGCCAGAGACCCAAGTATCATATCCAACCGGGAACCACAATCATAGCGCCTTACCTTGGAAGTAGTCAAAGGATTCAGATAGGGACACGAAGGTCACACCAAAAGAAAGCAGGAAACGCAGACACAACCCAAGCTAGAGAATCGGACGAGAGTGTAGTACCACAGATAGAGGTGAGGAAAGTCGAGTTCGAGATTGCAGTTAAAATGGAAATGGAAAGTGTAAGAAAACCCCATGTAAATCATCCCAGTCTTTTTTTGTTTCTCTGAAGGTATCTCTTGGCTAAATTAGATCAACATGCAAGGCGCGATAGAAAGCACGATCGGATTCAACACGCCGAACCAACGAGGCGAGAAAAAGGCAGAAAGAAGAAAAGAGGTGTCAACGGTGATGCACGTCCATGCCGCGCTGCAGCGAGGATTCCAAGTCATTAGGGTTGTAACCACCGCCAGCGGTAGCCTCCTGAGGTCTAGGATCCTCGGTCTTCCAAGGACCCTGGTGGTTATCCGGGATGGGGATGTTAGTCTGCTGAGCGATCTGCTGCTGCTGGGCGGCATGGGCCTGCGATTGCTGGCGGACGGTGGTGCGGAAACGGATGACCTCGTCGAGGATCATCTTGCGCATTTCGGGCACTTCATCGACGACCTCGAAGTGGAAGTCGAAGGTCGTGGGGCAGTTTGGTTCGTCCGAGGCGTCGTGCCAGATGTGCAGGTAGGGGTGTTCGAGGGCCTCCTCGACGGAGATACGAGACGATGGATCGAACGCCAGCATACGGTCCAACAGGTCCAACGCATCAGGGTTGGCTTGAGGGAACAGCTGCTTGAAGGCCACCTTCGGCATGAAGGGCAGGTTGCGCACATATTCCTGGGCGCGGGGCGATCCAATGCGCGCCAGGGTCTCTTCGTTGGGTGTACCCAGGTAGTGGAGAATCTGATTCAGCTGGTCGACATAGTCACGGCCCTTGAAGAAGGGTCGGCCGCCGAGCAGCTCGGCGAGAATGCAGCCCACGGACCAGACGTCAACTGCACATGTTGGGTTAGCGGGGATTCGGCGGCAGATTATGACGGTGTTACATACTCGCTTTGGTATAGCTCTGGAAGCTCAACATGATCTCCGGTGCACGGTACCATCTCGTCGCAACGTATTCGGTCATATATCCCGCGTTCTCCTCCGGGTCGATTGAGAAACCACGGGCCAGGCCAAAATCGCAGATCTTGAGCTCACAGTCCGCATTGACGAGCAGATTGCCGGGTTTGAGATCACGGTGCAGGACGTTGGCCGAGTGGATGTACTTGAGACCACAGAGAATCTGGTAGATGAAGGATTGGAAGTGGGCATCGGTCAAAGGCTGGCCGGAGCGGATGATAGCAGCCAGATCACATTCCATCAATTCTGCATGATTATCAGTCCAGCTCTATGGCCCGAAGCGGTAGACCACCTACCCTCATAGAGATATGTTTCGTTAAAGTTCTCCGGTCGGGGAATATCCATATCGTACAGACATGTGATCTGGAGGGCTGAGTTAGCGGGTACAGGTATTGATAAGGATGAGCTGCGGCCTACATTGCGATGGCCACGGAAATGCTGAAGCAGCTTGATCTCTCGCAAAGCCCGCTTGGCCAGGATCTTCTTGCTGAAGACATTGGTGACCTTCTTGACGGCGACGCCCTCGCCGGTCTGGATGTTGGTTGCGGCGCTTGGTACTATCAGCACATGTATATCTCCAGTGTCCAGTGTCCTCCACGCTTGACATCCGGAATACCTACCACACGATGCCGTAGGCTCCCTGGCCTAGCTCCTTTGTCACATTGTATTGCTCGCTCACGATAAAGTCCTGGTTGAAAACCTTGAAGACCTTGCGACCTTGTAAATCAGCCATGGTCGCGAGTTCTTGGAACTTGGAACTGTAGGAAAGGGCGAAAGTTGAGGAGAAACGAGAGTCCTTTAGAAGAGAGAGAGAAGGGAATAAAAGACAGAACAGAGAGAACAGAGAACTGAGACTGAGACTGAGAAGGGAAAGGGGAAAGTCGAGAAGTGTGATGGGATTCAAGAGCCCCGCAGTCCCCGCGGGTGATCCGCCACGCTTGTAACGAAAAGTGTTAGGACAAGGAAAAATGGGAAATGAATGAAATGAAGTCTTTTAATGAAAGAATATGTTCTAATTTAAGCAAACTGTAAAGTCGGTGAAAGTTTTATTTAGTTTAAAGGGATATAGAGGGATATAGAAAGAGCATATAGAGTTTAAACAGCAAAAGAATCAAAGAAACTACAAGAGATACATATATCAAAACTCGAAACTTGAGAAAAAGAGAGAAACAAAGAGTCAAAACCACAGGGGTTGAAACCTGTGGGCTGTTTTAGTGGGCTGATGTGGATGGGATTTCTATCAGCGCTAACTAACTACATAGTTATGTATATAGTGATATCTGTCACATACTCCACCTAATTATTAGTCCAATAGTCTACAAATTATAGGAATTATGGGAAATATCCATACTCCGTACGAAATATGGGAAATGTCTTAGATGAATGATGATATTCGTAACTAGTTGCCTTCCATAATAATACTACATACGCTGATTGGCCACGTGACCATGGAGCCCCCTCAGCCTATCCGCCTAGTTCGTTACCGTTGGCACATGCCCATAATGTTATCGCTATATTCACCCAAAAAGGATAGCAAAGCTTTCTTTCTTTCTATAAGTCCAAATATAGAAAGTCTCCGCTATATGAAGTATTAGTTGACACGGTGAGCGGGGGGCTGAAAACGGCTCCCATTGCACCGCCTGTCTGCCGTCCCCGACCGCCTGCCCGTCTCCACCATCTCCTTGCCCCTTCGGGTTTGGCGCCCTCACCCTCTCCCCGTTTTGGTTTAGCCCCGTCCCTCGCCGCTTTTACCGCCCCGGCCATCTGCCATCCATCTATATAACAACCGCTCGCCCTTCCCCTCAACCTGTCGACGCACTTTCCCTTCTCTTTCCCTCTCTGCCCCTTTTCTTTCTCGCCCCCACCGTCGCCTGCGCATTGGCTTTCAGCCCGACGCACTGCCCCTTTGATTTTCCCAGAGATGCCGCTCCATCCGACGACCAGCTCGTTCTGGCCGGCCTGGGCTGCCATGCCATCCAGTCGCCCAGGAGCAGACCCCCCTGGGATGATCCAGCCCGCAGCCGCATCGTTCGGTTTTGTGTCGATACTCCCTCCTATTCTTTTCCCAGGGGAGTGACAGTGCATCGTGCTACGAAGCTATCTAGGTCTCCTCCTAGAGCGCCTTGCTCGTTGAGCGTCACTCATTCCACCGGCCAATGCCGGACCGCGACTGCGGAAACCGTACCACGATCACACCTTCTCCTACCAAGTGGAGAACGGGCTGACGACTAGTGTGGGGCATGCATCGTAAAGGTCGTCCGCAAGGAATAGTAGTGGTAATTGCCGGTGAACTACAACCCGTGGCTGTGAAACTAGTGTGGTCCCGCGTCTTGGATGCGTTGGCCTGGATTATAGGAGCTGGTCGGGATCTTCTGTGCTGGGTAGAAGGCAGATTCCGCCTCACGGGCGACCGTCGTCTATAAAGAGACTACAATTCCACCCAAATGGCAAGACTGTAATTCAAACCCCCTTTCAAATTCTCCTCTCCCCTGCACCCTGACCCTCATCCCCTATCCCCTATCCCCTATCCCCAGTTGTCTGTTCTCTGCCAGTTTCCCTGTTTTATGACTACCCACAGCCACCACATCTCGAAGACTTTCCCAGCCGTCTCTTCCACAATATGTCAAACGCTAGTTTTCGCCTAGAATCCTTTCGCCCATGGAATCCTTTCCAGGACAAAGCTCAGCCTCTGCGAGATTCTCTCGATATTTGCCGCTACCCAAGTCCTGTCTCGATGACCGCCACCCCACCTCTCTCCAATCCTATCTACCCCGTCTTAAAGAGTCAAAAAATTCATTCCTACAAACCTGGCTAGCATCCCCTTCCTTCCCGCCCCCCGTTGGAGGTTTGCTTGGATGGCGGTCTACATTCGGACGCTCAAACAACTCGACACGAGCCGGAGGATTCGGGCCGCACCACCTCTAGTCCTCACGCTGAGACTTTCGACTCTAAAGACATTTTGCAATTACAAGACATACCAGGCACCGAAGACGTTGATTCTGCCATAATGCCCGATAATGTTTGTCTAGGTACTAAGCATCGATCCCCCGGTTTCGTTATTACTAGTTAGCACCCTCAAGCTGTCGATTCTGGAAACCCTACCCAGACTAGAGAGCTTCCAAACACTGAAACAATCGATCCCGCAATCCTAGACGATCATGCCTTTCCAGGTGGTAAGCAGATCCAAGTAAGGGAAAATATCACCGATATCGCAACATGTCTAGGTAGATGTCTCTTGGAGTGCTCCCACTCTCCGAATCAAGATCCACCTCTTTAATCCAGACGACAAAATGCAAAGGGAACGGCGGTTCCTAGTCGCTAGTCCAAAATAAATAAACGTTCGAGTGCTGGGAAGAGATATACAAAAAATAGTGCCGGCCGGTCTAATAAGGGGCCCCATTGTCGTAGCAGCGTTTCGTTTCCTACCGTTCGTGCTCAATTCTCGGCCCTTCCCGTCGAAGACCGGCTAGAGTTCCTGTCCTAGTTGTTCGAGGGTGCTTTATCTCATTGTATTTCTACGCCTTTAAGCACAGATGCCACTATATTAAGATGCGTTGTAAACTAAGATTCATATACGACTATGACCAGCCAAGCCCAAATACCGAACTAGTTGATGCCTAACATACCCCTTGTACGAGAAAAGGTTTACTATAGTCTGTGGAAGAAGTATCTTTATTGGTGAAGCTCAGGGAAGAACAGAATCTTGCTTGGTCGGAGGTGACGAGACAGTTTACACAGAAATTCGCTGGGAGGAGTAAAGGGTCCATACAGGTGTACTAGAGCACGACACTCAAGAAACAGCGGCGATCTTTGGCGGATGCCACGTAGAAAATGCCACCCTAATCGATACTTAGACCATTCCCTCGTTTTCTCTTGCACCACAAACCACAACGTAAATAAACTAAGGACTATGAATTGCCTTTTCGAGTTAGTTTTGCCGTTTCCGGTTTAGTGCACCAATTCGTCGTCATGTAACCTCACATCTCAGACCGCCCGGCATAAAAACCCGACCACGCCCTCTTCGTTCTCCGTTTCTCATTCACCCCGCCCTCCATCCCCTCACAGTGGATGAATGATCTGTAGGGGCTGCATTCGCGAGTAGCCCAGCTTGGTCGCATGAGAGAAGGGTAGGAATAAATATGGCAACCATATTCTTACATCAAACAAATTCTCCCAAGACAAAGAGATTCAGGCCATATGCCAAACGCGAACCTTGCTTGGGACAGGTAAGCTCGATCTATTGTGGCAGAACGCTTTGCCGTCGTGGTCTCTTTCAGGTGCAAGCATCCTATATTTCGCAACAGACCCAGGGATACTCCCTCGGGAGCGGACAAATATGATACATGCAGTCCCACCCTAGAATGACTCATACATTATCTTGGATCTTGCCATATTCAGGCAGAGCCCATTTTAGCATCCATTCTGAATCGAAAATTTGCTTAGTAGTAGGGATTCTCAGGTCTGAATGAGAGCATCGGCCGTAGCATGTTGAAGAAAGCTTCCCTCTCCCTTGCATCAAACGACGGTATGCCACTATCTCGCCTAGGCTGTTGCACGCTATCCTCAAACCGATCCTCCCAAGATCGGAAAGGGTTGCGGTTCATTGGCTTACCATCCTCGGTAAATTTCAGTCGTCGCGCCTCCCACCTCCTCCACCATTCAAGTGGCAAAACACCAAGAGCATCGACATGCTCACAGGTCATGTCGTCCTCCGTCGCGAGAAACCCTTCAAATAATGGCCGTTGGGCTATGATAGACCATATGGTACAGGCGAGAGTCCAAATGTCCGATGAAAAAGACAGAGAGTCATTTGGCTCAAACCGCGCCTCGGGGGGACGGATGACAAGGGGAGTGCGAGATTCGTATTTCCGTTCCTTTGAGGGGGAAAAGGCTTCACCAAAGTCTGTAAGCAAGATCCTGGTCTCTGAAAGTGTGATTTTCTCACTCGCTTCCCCCAACCATATGGGCGCAATGCCGTGGGATGGGACACTAGGTGGAAGCGGATTGCCATCTAGACGAACAGCTGGGTCTAGTTCCGGTGCTCCATATTTCTCATATAATTGTTTAAATGAGAGCTGGTCAAAATTGGGCGGAACTTTGAGAAGAATGTTGCCGAGGTGAAGGTCTCCATGGACAATTCCTTGGGCGTGCACATAATCCACAACAAGAACGAGTTGTGCAGCTAATGACCGGGCTACGTCAAGCTGAAATAAGCGGATCCATGAGCCATCTTTCACTCCGGAGAGGCTAGCGCTCGCCGGCGCTGTAACGTAGCAAGCATGATTGCCATTTGGGCCGTGAATGGTGAACCTATCTAGAATCGAAGGGACCATTATCTTTCCTGGATGGTTGACTGAAGGACAATGAGGACGAGTGAGCGTGGATATAATGTCCACTTCCTTTGGATTTGCGTTTGCTATGCAAACTTTCACTGCAACGTATTTATTGAATTGTTCATCACGGGCCAGCCACGCAGTTGAATAAGACCCATGTCCCAGCTTATGAACAACTCGATATCGACCGTGAAAGTGATCTCCGATTTGAATGGGGTGATAGCCCCCTGGTCGATAGTTCTCAAGTCTTTCGACTCCCTCAAGAGGCTCGTAGAGGAGATGCGTGTCAAAATCTTCGTTGTTCTCCATTAATTTGAACGCGGTGAGAGTTAACGCGCAGCGGGGTTGCTTGTGATGAAGCAGTGGCATATGCCCCTTACGAAGGATAGGAGAAATGGCTGGGGAACATAAATAATGCGGGCGCAACAACCGAATGGCCAATGACAACAATCGACTCATCGCCGTATTGCGCGGAGAATTTGAGCTAAAAGAAGATCATACTGTTACGTCACCTGCAGACATAGAGGAGCCAAGCAAGTTCCCAAAGCTACACACCCGGTTCAGGTCACATGCAGCATCCTACACTTGCCCGTATAGCTCCTGGAAAGTAATTCTCCGTCAGTAAGTTGCGGCCCCTCAACTAGCTGGCGACTGCAGCCTGTTGTCACTAATCCCTGCTAATATTCTTGGCGTTTCTCAGCTGGATAATGGTAGACCAAAAGGGTACTGGGGCAGTGTAGGTGGTATATCTGATCGAATGCAAATAAAGTGGGACAATGCATGGCCATTGGGCTAGGTACCTCATGATCCGACCGTGTTTTCAAACTCGCATAGAAGGCTGCAGTTTCCGTTTGATCGTTCAGTATCCAAAACCCCAAGGTAAGTAGGATAGACCCAGACCCTGATTACTCTACTGCATTACATATGTAGGTATGCTATAGGGTAATGGATATTTAGTGGAACCAGTAGCATATCTGCGTGTGCTTCATTCCATTTCCCGCAAATCTGTAACGAAAATATCCCCTACAGAGTGTTCTCCAACAGACGCTCCTTATGTAAAGCCTTAAGCTTGATCCGTACTGTTATGGACATGCTAGTTGCCAATCGATGGCGACCCCACATGTGACACGGACGGGCCGCCGAGATCCAATCAACCAAGTCTTACCCGTTCACACCGCCTTGCCGATCCTGGGAGATGGTTTTTCAGGGGGAAAAAACCACACCGCCTTCATTGGTCGGCTCACGTGACTATGCAGGTAGTAGAACGGTAGACGGTAGATCAGTAGAAAGTGCCAAGGCATTTCTACCACTCTACTCTCTACTCATCTACCCAGGGAGAACCCAGGGATATAATCGTGCCAAGCCCACCACCACCTACCCGGTGTTGGTGGGCCCCAGGACTTAGCCATTTCCCATGAATTAGCCATTTTCAATAGAAAAATGCATTTAAACCACTATTTACAAATAACTACCACGACTGTCCATATACCAATTTGGACCACTACCATATCTAGCTACCATTGTAGCTTCACGTTCAGCCTCAGCTAAATCCCTTGCTTTTTGAGCCTGTGCTTCAACTTCCAATTCCTCGGCATATCTTGCCTGTTGGCGTTGCCGCTTTTTATAATCGTCCTCATGCCTTTTCTCGATCTTCCTATTTGCGCATATAGGAGATAGGACTGATTTCTGTGCTCTAAGAATTGATTTGCTGTTTCTCGGCTGATCTTTAGCTTGTTTGTGGAATTGAGACTTCTTTAAAGAAGCCTTCACCAAATCGAGCTGTTAGGACAAATGTGAATTTGCGTCTATACTGCGCTAGATATGCCGTTTCACTTGCTGATTTTGATTTTCCAGATCCTTAATAAGCTTAGCATTAAGCTTATTAACTCGAGCGATAGTATCTGGCGGCGAATTGGTGACTGAGCTCGAGATATCTGGCGGGGGGGAGGGGGTAAAAATGCGAAGAGGAGCACCCTCAGATTCTATTTGGCGTAAAGGAGTAAGAATAGCCTCTAGATCAAAAGGGTAAATACCCCTAGATCTAAATAAGGCTCGGATTATTCTTTGGGTAAAAGCTTTATCCCGAATATCGTGAATCATCCTAAAAAAATCCCGCTTTCTAGTAACGCTTCCACCCTATATCATAACCTTGTTATTCGCCGTACGAAAGTAATGTTTTAAGTATTAAAAAGCTTCACTATCGAGCGGCTGGTAGAGGTGCGTTATATAGGGTAGAAAGAAAAAAGGGATAATAAATTTCTCCTTATAAAAGGTGATAAATTTAATAGTCGTATAAGAGCTATGATTATCTATAAGAAGCAGCCTCGGACGGCCTTTTTAAACCCGGTTTTTTAAAGCTTTATAAAAAGAATAAAGCTATTCAAAAGCAGTTTTATCGTTAATCTAACCATTTTCCGTAGGCTTAATTCGAAAGTCCGGAATAGTGATATTCTTATACCACTCTTCTATCTAGTTACTACCCTTAGGTAGGAACTACGGTAGTATCACCTAACTATCGGCAGCGATACATTTAATACCCGTGATCGATTCATTTTTACCACTAGTAGGATTTGCATATGCACCGGTAGGAGTAATAACCTTTTATCGTTTTCCTTAGCTAATTTAGTAGCCGGTTTCATCCTAATTAAAGATCTTATTTGGTAGGAATTCGTATTAGTCTATAACCTTTTTAAGGTTATTAAACCAGAGCATCAATTAGCTATAGTTCTCGCTCTTAAATCTGGCTTTTTCGGCGGGTTTTAGGCTGATATATAGGACGTCTAGGGGTAGGCGCTTGATAAAGCGGTACACCTAGTTATAGCCAACCTGCCGATCGGAACCAGTATCTTTCAAAAGCTGGTTTGTAGAGCGCTCAATAAGCTCTAGGGTATTTGTAATATATGAATACCGTAGAGTTTGAATCCAGGATATTAATGCTTTTTCTTGTATTAGATTTAATGCCTTGTTTGGTGTAATACGCGTCGTATGAGGCTGGTGCCCGGCGACGCGACTACGCAGTCGACTACGCGGAACCGCAAATTCCCGCGCCAATTTAGCTAAATTGGGTTTATCGCTCTGATTGTAGGCAGCTACGGCCTGCTGGGTTCTTGTCTCAAGACTTTCGTTTTGATCCGACATTGTGGGGTGGTGTAAAATGAGTAGGAAATTGATAAAAATGGAAAAATGGCTAATTCATGGGAAATGGCTAATTCCTGGGGCCCACCAACACCGGGTAGGTGGTGGTGGGCTTGGCACGATTATAAGGACACTCATTCATGTATCTAGTTTGGTTCTTCGTCTTCAATTATACATTGTTACTTGTGTTTACCTTTGGATTACCAGTTTGACTTCTTACTTGATTATAACTCGACAACACCCATCAATTGACCAATACTT